GGGACCCCGCGCCGCAGGGACGGTCGGCGGCGAGTCCCCGGTGATCCCGCGCCGCATGGACAGTGGCCCGCGAGTCCCCGGTGATCCCGCGCCGCATGGACAGTCACCCGCGAGTACCTGGGGACCGTGATAGAGGTCACGGCTGATTTTTACACTGCTGATAGACGAGAGAACTTCATAACTATCTGTCTTACTTTTACAAGATCTCTCACGTCCTACACAAGCTGACAGGAGGGGTGTGCTACGAGTGCTTCCTGAATGTGGTTTACATATTTAAATTCTATACTTTCTATGTTGCTGTTGTCTTTGTTGTCTAGTGCTGAGACATTCTGATGAGTGGGTGCCGTCTGACAGATTCAGGCTTACAGGTTTGGACTCCCTCTGTGGGTAGAGGGACACCCACTTCTGCCCCTGCATGTTTAACCAGGCGCATCGCGAAGAGCCGTCTGTTATACTCGTGTAAATACGTTAAATGGGCAGTGTGTGCATTAACTGGTACAGATACCTTTTCCCAACTTTTTTAAAGTCACTGAAAGAAGATATTACAAGGTGTTTGTCTGTAGTCTTTGTAAAATGTGAAAATTTTTGGCTTTTTCCATTTTTTTTTTTTTTTTTTTTTTTATAAAGGCTTTTATGGACCCAAAGACAGCTGATCTAGTTTACAGCATCTTCTGTTGAGTAATATCCCAGAGTTAAGACAGAAAATAATACAAAATAAACCGAAAACCTAATAAAAATGTTAATATAGGTTTGTTTCTGATTTTTCTTTACCTTGTATCCTGTCGGGTTGGCTGAACCCTTCCTGGATTCTATGCCCATTTGTAAAAAGCCGTCAATGGACACAGTGTCTTTTTGAAAATTATGTCCGATTGTTGTGAAAAATGCACCAGATCGTTGCTTGGAATGAAAAAGCTCTATAGAGGAATAACCTGTAATGTTTTTCTTGTGATGTTGTGTCATCTGCTTATGGCAGTTTGGTGTGATGATGTAAATCGTGGCTTCTGCCCTCCCGCAGGTGGACGCGTCGCTTTGGACTGGGCCGGTCGGCCCACTTCCACTCCACTACGTTTCTCAGCTTCACTCCCTGGCTCCACATACCAGTTCATCAGTCCCTATGTTATACATCACAGCCATTCATGCATTTATAGTCACGTTGAAATGCAAAAATACATTTGCCATTTATACACAATATTAGGCCATGACTTTAGAAAATGTACAGAAATCTAAGCATGGCTTCATTTTCCATACCAAAAAATACATTGAGTACTGAATGCACTGCAACTTGCAAATCCTCTCTGTCCTGCCGTAATTCATATAGAGGGGTCAACCTTATTATTATCCAGTGATATGAATCGGTGAGTGACAAGGTACAGAGCCAATCAGCTGGGGCCAGTGGCCCCACCCCCAAGAATAGCCCAGCCGCTGCAGTGAACCCGGCAGATGCCTGTAGGCTAAGCAGCGCTGAAGCACCCCCCTGTGCAGAGGCAGGCTCCTGCAGCAGGTCTATCAGCCCAGCACACTCGCTGCTGCTTGTCTGCTCTCTCAATCCTACACTTTTCTACCTGCATGACTATGCATCAGGAGCATCAGCAGCTCTTCCATGTACCAGTGACCGTCGCTCCATGGCATCAAATACAGCATCGAGCTAAACGTGTGGCTGCGTCTGTCCTGAAGGAAAATGATGCCTGCATGTTTAAGCCGTTTTCTGCACACATACAATAATTACATTTTTGCACAGGTATAGACCACTATGAACATTGAGGCTGTTCACACGCTTGAAAGTATTGGTTTTATATCACTGTGTTTCTACTACAGATGTCAAAGCACAGCATCCTTACTCACCTGATGCCATCTGAATTGGTTCACTGAGACCAGGCTGTGGACGGTGCTTTTGCATTTAGGTGTAACTGTGCCGACCTTCTGGCATGCACACAGTTAGTGTTTGTTTCTGCATTTGTAGCACAGGGTAAATGCACTTTTAATATGAGGCCCAAGAGTTTATTTTGTAACCCATTTAAGATGCTTTATTTTACGGTCTATTTTAATTAAGCAAGTGTTAAGTTGGTAAGTCTGACTGGTAAGCAAAAAATTATGGACACACAGAAAACTACACTCTAATACAGTTTCTACTGGACGCATGAATCATTTCTCAACGCCACCTTGCTATATTTCAAAATAAAAGCCTGCCCTTGGACATTAACTGGCATTTAAACGTGTTTGATAAATAAATGTAATGTAACATCGTTATGATACTTCCTCTAAATTAGTGCTCGAAGTGGGACGGTACTCACTGGTTGGCAGGACCAGCAGATTTTCTATACTACCTGATGAGTAATGAGATCAGCTGTGGTCCATCAGTTAACAGGTAAGATAGTGAACCTAACGGATACCTCTCGGATCAGGGCTGCCTATCCCTGGTTTAGAGAGCAGGACTGCGGACCAAACACTACCCTGCAAATATTCAGTTCACATCTTAAAAAACAATAACTACTAACTAAACCGATTAAGGACGATGTCACCTAGTTACATCATCACGGTACATAAATGGTGTTCTTACATCAAACGAACACGACCGCTTGTCATGCCTGACTCTCTGGTCCGGTTCTGGAGGGTTTATATAACCTGGGTGGCTCACGGTCCAGTTTCTCCTATGTGTTCAGTGTCCTCTCTTTGTATGCAAAGCCGAACATCGTCTATTGACAGAGCATTACAAGCACCAATAAAAAAACAAAAATATAAGGGGAACTCACCGCTTTCCAACATCTCCCGAAGCTCACAGCCCGTGCGCTTCATGTATCACCTAGGCGCACCTGCCCCTCCGGCACTCCGCTCGGCGTCCCACCTCCACCTGGTTTTCGCAAGTATGCGCGATCCCGTTAATCAGACGTACTTTGCGGCCAAGCTGCTCTCAAATTTGCGCTCTGCGCGCACACGCCCCGGCCTCTAGGGGGCGCTCTCTGCGCGAGCTCCCCGAACCCCCCCCCCGACCGCGCTGTCAGACCCGCTCACCGCCGCGCTCTTGCTCTCAGACAAGTTCAGTCCGTTATGGCGAGTCGACTTCTGCTGCGGAGCATTTTCGCTGCCGGCCGGGCGGTTAGGGCGCCGGGGACCGCTGGGGCAGTGCGCTCCATGGGCGCTTTGAAAGGTCAGTGCCTCCTATATATACTGTTTATTATATAGCGTCAGGAGAAACCGAAGGAAAATAAACGCGTCACTGGTAACATTGTAGAACGCATTTCCAAAGCTGAGCTCTGAAACTCAGTAGGAGGCGTTCAGAAGAATAAATAGTGCAGCAGCCATACTCATAGATATCCCTGAAGACGGATAATATTGATGTTCTGTGAAAAGTTTATACCCAAGGACAGCTATGAATCTACCGACATGCGTCTCGACATGATTTTGCTCGGGAAAAACTCCGACCGTGATTCACTATTTAGGGAGTATTAATACTAAAATGACGCTAACATTAAAAGTTGTAAATATGAAAAATAGCAGCTTTGAGGTAAATGAAGGTCACGGCGACGCGTCCGCGGACAGGCCGCGCGGGTGACCACACCTCTGCTGGCAGCGCCGTTCTGGTGCGCTGCCAAAAGGGGTTTAAATTAACCCAGCGGCGCGCCGCACTCTACGTGCGTGCCAGTGTGTGCGTGTGCTTGTGCATGTGCGCGCACCATGAACTGGGTGTGCACTTCATCACATGTAATTTTGTATGTTGAACACAACTTGGTGCACCCATGTTTTATTACTTATTTTATGTATTAATTGTCTATTCTTTCTTATTTTATCCGTTTGCTATATGTATTTCTCATACTTCATTGTATTGTCCCCTTTTTGTGCTACTGAACGAAGAAATGATCCCCAACTGCGAATCAGTAAAGTTCTTAACTGTCTCTCTCATGTGCTTTGGATGCAACACTAAGAAATTAAGAAAACCATAGTTTTGAAGTAGCCAAATGTTAGTATGATAAAGCAAGTTTGATTATAATTATTATTGTTCATTATTATTATTATCATCATCATTATTATTATTATTTTCTCTGGCCCGTACTGGGGACGGCAGGCATTCCCACAGATGAGGAGCAGGCCACTGGCATTGAGCGACATGCCATCCAGGCTTTGGCCAAAGGACAGGTAAAATCCGCCCCAGTGATGCATTTCCTGCAGGAGCGCGCGGGACCTTACAGCCCGTTTTTGTCTCACCCCCAGGACCCATACAGCATTCTCAAACCCAAAAAGTATGCTGGCACCAAAGAGGACCCACACATTGTCCCTTCCATCAACAACAAGAGACTGGTGGGATGCCTGTGTAAGTGACACTGACCGTTACGGCAGGGAATAAATATCACTAAACGAAACGTAGAAGTCGGCAGTCTTTTTGCAGCAGGGTATTTAATGTGTAAATGCAAAGCCAGGTGTCGACCACCTCAGTTTTTCATTGGAGACATGTATTTACACACATATGAGGCGTGATGGATACGTGTCATTGTAGGTGAGGAGGACAACACCGCCGTTGTGTGGTTCTGGCTCCACGAAGGACACGCCCAGCGATGCCCATCCTGTGGCTCCCACTACAAACTGGTCTCCCATGAACTACCCCACTGAGTCAGACTGGGGGCACTGGGATCATTTGGCTCTTCATTGATGTGTGCCAGTTCTAACAGACATGAAATACTCATTAACAGAATAAAATGCTCTGTCTTGCTGAAAGGCCTGTCTTGGATCTGTGGAAATTACCTCAGACCTTCTCCATTGTTTGCTGACCATAACTTACCACATTTTGCTTGTATCTTATGACATCAGGAATGCAGTGATACCTGAAAACACATGTACGTAAAACTCATTGTGGCCGGCGGAACTACAGTATGTCTGGTTATAAATAAAAATCAATGTTTCCCAAATTAGTCCTCAGGGACTTGCAGACAGTCCAGGTTTTTGCTGCCATCGGGAGCTGGGAGGGAGCAAAAAGGTGGACTGTCTGTAGGTCCCTGAGGCCCGGATTGGGCAACTCTGGTATTCAGATGGTTGGGAAGGAACTGGTCTGTAGGACCAGGAGGTCAGGTGGCACCACAGCTTGTGAAGAACAACTCAAATGCAGCCTTTGCACAGTAGTAAGATTTTATTAAGATGAAAAGTGTTCATGGTCAACACGCAGGAGTGTCCTGTATGAATAGCTTATTTTCCAAATGGATAGCCAGAAACGGAAAAAAAATCTTTCATCATCTCTCAGTATAGATATGAATGCCAGCCAAACTTGTGTAATCATTTTTTTCAATTACATATAACTGCATTTTTCCAGAATAGGAAGAACAATCCATGAAAATGGATCTGATTTACTAAGATAGATGTTTTAGTGAGTGTTTAATGCTGTAATGCTGTAGTCACGTTGGCTAGATAAGAAAACACAAATAGCTAAAACTTAGCCGCTGATCAGCTACAACCAGGATACGTCTTGTCCTGCAGAGGAGGACTGCAAATGAAGTGCGTATTTTTTGGGAGGAGATGGGTATTAAAAATGTCTGTGGTTACCCAGTGCTATAGTTTCAACATGACGTCAGACAAGGTTGAAGCCTTGGTGATGGTCGATGGCCTGCACCAGCTTCTCCTGAAGGCGCGCCTTGTCACTGTATTTGGGAAGATCCAGCAGGTTGAAGCAGGTATGAGCGACGGGCAGGTAATGGTCACCACCGCCCGTGGGCTGAATGACCAGCTGCAGGGATTTCATGCCCAGGATAGGGATGCGGTCGCTTCCAGTGAGGAATACTGGACAGAGAGAGGCGGGGTTACGGCCGTGAGGAACACCGGACAGAAAGGGGCGGGGTTACGGCCGTGAGGAACACCGGACAGAAAGGGGCGGGGTTACGGCCGTGAGGAACACCGTACAGAAAGGGGCGAGGTTACGGCCGTGAGGAACACCGGACAGAAAGGGGTGGGGTTACGGCCGTGAGGAACACCGGACAGAGAGAGACGGGGTTACGGCCGTGAGGAACACCGGACAGAGAGAGGCGGGGTTACGGCCGTGAGGAACACCAGACAGAGAGGGGTGGGGTTACGGCCGTGAGGAACACCAGACAGAGAGGGGCGGGGTTACGGCCGTGAGGAACACCGGACAGAAAGGGGCGGGGTTACGGCCGTGAGGAACACCGGACAGAGAGGGGCGGGGGTACGGGCGTGATGAAAACCAGACAGAAAGGGGCGGGGCTACGGCCGTGAGGAACACCGGACAGAGAGGGGCGGGGTTACGGCCGTGAGGAACACCGGACAGAAAGGGGCGGGGTTACGGCCATGAGGAACACTGGGCTTTGTTAACAGAAACCTCACATAGCATGTCAGCCAAGAGAAGAGAAGAGGCGTCCTATCTGAACCTGGGGGCTGGGAACACATCCAGGATGTGATGTTCTCAAACAGTTATATAGAAGCACATCTGGATCATATCTCACATTGGATGAGACTGTGACGTAACTCTACAGAGGGGGCCACATGACCACATGAAGGAGGACATGCCATTAAGGTGAACAAAAGGTCTGTGGGACACTTACAGAGGAACTGCTTCTTCTTCTCTAGGGGAAGCTCATGGAAGACCTCCCAGAAGAGCTTAATGGTGGGATGCTCCGGCCAGTACTCGCCTTTGTACACTGTGCTCTGTGGGCGGGGCAAGGGGGTGGGGTCACACCAAGATGACCGTTAGGGGAGGTGACCGGCTGCAAGCGTAAACCGTCATGGCGCTCAGTGAGAATTCAGGCTTTGGAGGAGACAAGGAGTATATAAATCAATCAGCAGCTAATGAACAGCACTGCTCACTATTTATCATTTTTGGCTTTAAATCAAAGAGGGGAAAAAAATCATCAATACTGCTGACAGCTTCTGTTACTGGTGTCTGGAGTTACAAGTGTTACTGGAGTCTATGACTGACAAAGTTGTATCGTATCATCGTATCGTATCGTATAAGGCGCTTATGTCGGCCTATCAGACTCCGTCTTTCTTCAGTGTTTGCAGTAACACATGGTAACTTTGCTGCAGAGTATCCTGTAAAGCAGCAGCACTCTGACCTTCTCCAGTTCCTTCCAGTCATAGTTGGTGTTTCCGATCACCATGGCCTGCAGCTCGCTGGGCTGAAACAGCTCCAGCACTTTACTGCCACACACTTTGTGGAATCCAGAGGCAAAGGCATTGAACAGTGGAGCCACGGATGTGTTGAAAATGTAGTCCACATAGGCTGTCACAAATTCCTGCCTGCAGGTGGCGCAATGCATCATTTTTAGAACACTGCTTTAAGACAAGGCACAAGGTCTAACAAGTGTGACGTTCAGTCATTGGCAATTCACAGACAAAGGGCCCAAACACTTGAGCATGAAAGACAACGAAATACCTGTTTGACTTATTCACTGGGATATCCTCGCCATTTGGAACGAGTTCTAGGACTTCTGTGGCACCAAAGTTTTCCACCGTGATCTGAAAAAGTCATTTTCATTGGTTTTAAAAATGTTTGGGGTACATATCACCAGAAAACGAGGGTCAATTCGATTTGAAAGACCTACAGTGAAGTTTAGACAGAAGGTTTCTTCTATATCATTTTCAGTGTGATCCAGCAGGTGCTGCATACTCCTGGCAGAGAGAATGTAAAGAGGCTGAAATGCAGAACCATGACGTCTCACTACAATCCCAAAGTGAGGGTCTCCGGGGAGACATCTGACCTCCCGACGTCAGGCATCAGCTCCTTCAGGTCATCAAGCGAGGGCTTCTTCTCCAGAAGCTTCTTGTAGAGCGCCAGGGGGAAATTGAGCTCCACGATGGTTAGGTTGTAGATGGCCAGTCCACAGATGGCACCGATAAGGCGAAACAGGTCTATGTCCTCAAAGGTCTGAAGGGGACATTTCATTTGTACATTATAGACACTTGTTATACATGTTATGGAGAAGTTTTCATCTGTCTGAAACGTGGAACCCAACCAAGCACATGCAAATAAGGTAAATGCTTGGCACTGGGTCCACAAAGTACTGTGATCAAGTTCTTACCTTGTTTGAAAACCAGATCAGTCTGGATTCCTCATAGTATCTGAACATGCCGTACTTTGGATCTAGAAGTTCTTTCATAATGAGCAGAAAGAACTCCTTGCGAACGCCTCCTGCATCCACAGCTTCCTCACCTACGAAGATGACCTGCAGCACAGGCATAGCAGAGAGTTGGGCGACCAGGAAATAACCACAACATAATTTAATATTTCACTCTTAAGCACAAAAAAAAGAGACCTTCAGAGGCTTCTTGTAATCCACGTTCTTGGACTTCCTCAGAACTTCCATGGTGTCCCCGACGATGTTCTCCCGCCTGACGATGAGGATCAGGCAAGGATTGACAGATTCTACCACCGGCATGAAGAACGAGGAGAAGTTCTGTCTTTGAGCCTGATCGACCGCCATCTTGTACCAGAAGAGAACCAAACAAGACAGTCTTCAGCACAGGGTCAGTACCAAACCCAGAGACCCCAATGCCACATGAAAAACATTCAATAACTCGGGAATAAAATAAAACTTAATAAGCATGACAACAAGACAGCCAACTTCCTCTGTATTGTTCAGTATTATAAATCATGTTAACTTTGTTGGACAATTTGCTGTGCACTAGCATTGACAATGTTACAAATCACTCACAGCCTTTTACAAAATGTTTATTATCACATTACAGCAGCAACAGACAACGTCCACAGACCCAGGTGGTTGTTAGGTTGCACACAGATCCTATTTATGTTACAGACCACTCAAGACCTATTATAAGATGTCACATTACAGGGGCCCAGGGCCACCGGGACCCAGGAGGTTCTTAGGTCACGTGCAGATCCTCACCTGCATCTGCAGAACCGCATCAGTTTGCAGTAGGGTGGTCTTCGACTGCGCATCGAACACGAATGGAAACTGACACATTGTGACGGGAAAGTCCGGCACCTGTGCGGGAAGCAGCAGAAAGTCCCATCCTCCATCAGCATGAACTTCCTTTTCACATTTTGTGCATCTACTGGGTAATGACTTACCATCGAAAACACTTGCTGTTGGATCCAGTTGATGTAGTCGTTCTTGATGTCAATCAGATCATCAAGCTCATGAATGTAGAATCTGTCATACTGTATGATTTGCCCAAACTTTTCATTGACCTGCAACATCCATGAATCAGGAATCAGTCTGTCATAAGGCTGTCGCCTGGAACCAATCTCCACATTTTAACCCAAGCCTCTCTCTCTCTACAGCAGTCGCCTAGTGATGTTTTCTATAGCACTGTTTCTGGTTTGAGTAATGACCACGCCTTTCATTATATTTCCCATAATCTGAACTGTAACATTCCTACTAAAGACTTGTGGATTCAGCTTTAAAAAAATGGAATCGGCACAGATACACCAGCTTCTCCTGTTGCCAGCGGTTTGTGTCACAACTCACGGTGTGCAGAGTTTCGAGGAACTTGAGGGACACGTGGAGGAAGGCTGCGAAGATCCTCTGCTCTGAGTGTGGGATCCCCACCTTGTGCATCCTCAGCAAGTTCACCACCACCTCCTTGTACAACTCCACCAACCTCTGGAAGACCGGAGGCTCCAGTCTGGACCACCAGTTTCCTGTACGACAAAGTCGGGTTTTGAGACCATTTCAGGACTTAAAAAAAAATACTGAACTGAGATCAGCACTAGCCGATTTGCTACTTATGACAACAAATGCTAATAAGTGTGATCATAAATTCAGACGTATTTTTTCTGTGTTCTCACCTGAAATTTTATGTTATAGAACGCAAGCAGTGATTTAATCTGAACGTTTAATTGCTCTGAACACATGAGCTTGTCCTACGGAACAGAAAATTAGCACAAAAACCTGTTAAGCTCTTTGACAGCCTTTTCCCAAAAGTGGCTGAACAGTTAGGAAGCATTAATCACGTGTCCTTTCAGAAGCCAAGCCAGCGTTTAAAAGCAGACGTCCAACTCAGCACAGATGGAGCTCAGAAATGAAGGTCATGGGATCATGGGGAGATGGATGTTGCTGAGAGGCGGAGGTCATGGAGGAACGGCGGCTGCGTAGAGAGACAGAGGTGACACGGAGCCGTGACTTACCGAGCACCTTCAGTGGGGTCTCCCTCAGGTTGATGACGGCCTTGCCGAAGGGGATGGCGAGGGTGACGAACGTGTTGGGATTGTTGAACAGTGGGCATTCGGGCAGTGTCAGATACAGCCGCAGTGCCTCCACGTCTGGCGGGGAGCAGGGCAGCTTGGGGATCAGGTTCTTCTCCAGGCTGGCTGCGACCTGCAGGGACGGCACCTCGGTTTTTAACGGCCCTCCCCGGTGCATGGAGGCGGGGCCAAGTCCCTCACACTACCTGCTGGGTGACCTGAGGGTACTCCGGCTGCAGGAGCTTATGGAAGAGGAGGCGTGCCGTGCTCATGTCCACGCCCGACGTCCTGCTGCCCGTGTCGTAATGGTCCGGGTGGCTGAGGGAGCAGCAATGCAGGTCACATGACCAGACCTCATGTTACGCTTAAACTGGAGAACTCATATTTTTCATACCTTTGATTTTCAAACCATTATAATTGTGACACCAACTGTACCCAATAATTACGAACAACATGATGAAAAAAATCATACTGCACATGTAAAGACGAATGGCTCCATAAAGAACGATAATATCAGAACGTCACCTTCCTGACAGAAAACTTCCGTTGAGGCAACTGGAAGACGAGAAGAGGACATCGATCTCACTGCGGAAGAGCAGAAAGAGACGTGTTAACTACACAAGTGGGACAAGGGACATGGGGAGTTATGGGAGGGTAAGAGTCTTGACAATCCTCATGACACTTAATCAGCGTCGGGGCGAATTTAGGCCCTGCTGGTGTTACTCCATGTCCTTGGAGATATGGCCATGTGTTTAACGTGCACACGCTCACACGCGCCCACATACATTTTAGATCACATTACAACAACACATGAATTTTGCATGTTCTAGATGAGTCACGTTCTGAACCTTCCAAACTGGCCCTGATAATGCAGATTTTGACCTTACAGACTTGATCTTACGCCATAATGCTGGGAGATTAAGGAATTCCTTCTAAGTGAACTTATAGAGCACAGTCTCAACTGGTTTGTCTTTTGGTCAAAGCATTCAAAAGCTACCTATTCACAAGCAGGAACTAGTAATATAACGATCCACCAATCAGTATAAACAGGAAAGAAAAAATTCAATATAGGTATCATACTTGACAATCTCCTGCGGGAGCCGCCCGTGGGCGTGGCCTAACCAGCGCTCGATAACTTCAGCATTCAGCGTGTAAATCTCTCTGCTGGGATCAGGCACGCGGAAATCATCAGGGGGTGTGTGATTCTTTGGAGACAAAAAGTGGTTTTTAAACATTTTCATTGAGCAAAACCTATTTAATATATGCACCTGTTCTAATGTTATTCAATATTACCAAAGAATGGTTCAAATATTTATAATTGCTTTTCATTCAAATCTTACATACTTAATCTGAGAAATATTCCCATCATTTAAAACAAAAGCAGCAAAATCTTTTAAGGTCAGGTTTCCAGTTTAGACACAGACTCGTCAAGATTGACGTTATTTTACCTCCGGAACAGAGAAATGCGCAAAGCTCTGGTCTCCTCCCGCATAAATCCTTGTCACACAACAGCTCTGCCCTGCATCTGAGAGACAAGCAGTGAGAGAAAGACATCACTGGGAAAGGGCTGCAGGCTGCCGCACCCCCACCCCCTTCCGAGATTCGGTGCGTCACCAGTGCGTGACCCGAAAGGAGGCTCACCCGTGTCTGAAGGACAGGGTCCGTTGTGGGGAACCCAGTTCCCCTTGACTGGCGCCGGGCTTTTCCTGTTGCACATGGAGCGAGTTCCCAGCTGCCCGTTTCCACCCAGACCAAACGAGTTGATCTTCCCGGTGCTAGCGACGAACGCTAACGTGTGCTGCCTTGGATAACAACCAGCAAGTGAGGAAAGTCAGGACCACTGGGGTTGAACGAGGATGGTGCATGCTAGGTGTGGTCACTCAGAGTTCCACAGCTCATGGGACGGGGCCCTTAACCCTGAACACACTTCCTTCCGTGAGCAGCATCATCACAGGAACCTACCTACCGCAGGCGATCTGTGTGACTACATTTCCCATGAGCTCAAACACCTTCCTGGGGTTGATCTCGTGGTTTGTGGTGTTATGGCCCAGCTGACCGTAGCCTCCTGCTCCGAAGGTAAACACACCGCCTTCCTGTCGAGGGACACAATTCACACACTGATGAATTCTGGGTGGGAATGACACAAAGTCAGTCCTAAACAGGAACAGGAACTTTAGGAAATCTCCTAAACAGGGACACTTCCATCAACATTTAGAAAGTGCTCATTTATTCCGCATTCAGCACATCGACTACGGGTACCGACTGTTGGCTTATAGTCCAGCACATCCCAGACCTCGACAGGCTCTGTTTTTAACCTACGGGTACCGACTGTTGGCTTATAGTCCGGCACATCCCAGACCTCGACAGGCTCTGTTTTTAACAAGATGACCAGCGCTATTCAACACCGTAATGCTCCGGCTCTTCTGTGTATACCGTACATGCTATGTTCACTATTTGGTTCATTCTTATTCACTTTCCTTCACTGCTGTATGTTGTTAAAGTCCACAGGGACACATGCAAGTATTTCATTGTACTAAAACAAATGACAATAAAGCTTTTGAATCCTTTGACATGATATGCCATAACTTAGCGTCACGGCTAACAAAACAATCTGTTTGAATGCCACAGATGGAGGGAATACTCTGTCACTTATTTCATGGCTGTATGAAAGGCTGAATGAGAGGAACGTGAGGTACAGAAGGCACCTTTGTGAGTGCGGCGGTGTGGTCCTCGCCGCAGCAGACGTACACCACCCGCTGAGATCGGAGGGACTTCAGTAAGACGGGGCAGTATCGATCTAAGAGATAAAGGAAGGCTCTTAAGGTTCTCCCAGTGGAGCATCATAACTTTAGTAATGACATCAGCCCCAGTACCTTTACACTTAAACCACAGCTATGTCACAGCAAGCAGGTATAAACACACAGAAGCTACATGCACTCTACATTTCAATATGCACCCCAGCCAGGGCCAACACCACCCTTTTCGGGGCCCTAAGAAAAATTAGATTCACATAGTTGTCATTTGTCATCTTCCTTCCCCTTCTGAGAGGCTTGTGCTCCTGGACTGTGAGCACAATAAAGAGGCTGAAATCAGAAATGATGAGAGGAAGCTGAAAGGTAAGAAGAGCACTACACGCAGAGGCTCCAGACAGGCAGGCAGACAGACAGACAAGGCAGGGAGATAAGCAGGACAGACAGACAGGGACAGACAAGCAGGCAGGCAGACAGACAGACAAGGCAGGGAGATAAGCAGGACAGACAGACAGGGACAGACAAGCAGGCAGACAGACAGACAGACAAGGCAGGGAGATAAGCAGGACAGACAGACAGGGACAGACAAGCAGGCAGACAGACAGACAAGGCAGGGAGATAAGCAAGACAGACAGGGACAGACAAGCAGACAGACAAGGCAGGGAGATAAGCGATAAACAGGACAGAAAGACAGACAGACAGGACAGGCAGAGAGGGACAGACACAGAGGTGAACAGAAACAACAGGAAGGAAGAGAGACAGACTGACAGACAAGGCAGGGAGATAAGCAGGACAGACAAAAAGTGATGGACTGGACAGAGGGACGTGCAAACAGACAGGTAGACAGACAGACAGATGGGGTGGATACTCAGGCCTCCTCACCAGTGTTATCGTTGAGGCCCAGCTGGCCAAAATTGTTGCGTCCCCAGCCGAACACAGCGCCTGACATGGTGAGGGCGAAGCTGTGGGCACCGCCAGCAGCGATCTGCATAAACGGGATGCCCTGCAGCGACTGTATGGCTTGCGGGGAGAAGATGCACTTGCAGTCGTTTCCCAGGCCCAGCTGGCCATACTTATTCTGTCCCCAGGAGAAGATGGTGCCTCCTGAACGGGGACAGTCAGAGCCCAAAGTACGGTATCATGGGTCAGAAGACGGGCTCTCACACACCCGTCCAATGTATTCTCACGGAGTACCACTGCCACGAGGCGTCCAGCACTGCACTTCAGCTCTCAACTGCATGTCAATGCACAGAATGAGTAATAAAGCGATGGAGCGCAAGGCCCACTGCGTTCACTGGCCCTGCTAAGATCCACCCTGTAGGCGGAGCGTCTTGCTAGTGGAGTACTCACCCTTGGAGAGAGCGTGAGAGTGTCGATATCCGCAAGCCACCTGGGCAACCTGGACCTCTGACAAACTCTTAATGTTCCTGCCATCAGAGGGGATCAAAGGTCACTACAGGTCAACAGAACGGAACCAAACTGGCAGTGCCAGTGACATACAGCGAGTCGTGACATGCCACTCCGCATACCACTGCAGGAAGGGAGCCATCTTTGCAATAGTAAAAATTCAGTGCCATTTGTTTTTCGTACATTGCACAAATGCCATCACTAATTTATCTATTCACGCACTGTGTATTATTCTTGCAATTTGTCTGTTTTGTGCACAAGAACCAGCACACGGGGGTGTAATATCAGGAAGTGAGCTATACGTAGAGGAAGGCAGAGGGGCCTCCGTACCTGGGCACACGCATGCACTCCTCCGCACAGGGCAGGCCCAACTGTCCGTCCGACGCCAGGCCCCAGGCAAACGCCTGGCCCTTGTCGTTCAGCGCCAGCGTGTGGGCCTCACCACACGACACGGCCACTATGTTCTGGGCGTCCAGAGCCGTTACCTGCTCTGCAGAGACATGTGCACTTTGAGGTGGTGTGGAACTGGACGGGCTGTAAGACCCGGCCTAGCCTTTTAGGTCCCTGACTAATGCCCTGCAGCATCAACTGCTACATAGGTAATGATTTTAATCAGAATCCGTATCATTATCGCCAAATACAGCTGTGAGTACAATGAATCTGGAGTAGTATGTCAGGGCAGCACAAGAATTTAAATCAAAGTAAGAATAATGAAGGAAAGGATAACAAAACAGCAGTGCTGGGCGATATGATCGGCATTACATCGTGCATATGGGCGAAACATTTGTCCGGACGCCAGCTTTACGGTACTAAACGACGTTTGTTTACGCTCACAATTTGGTAAGTAGATTATAAAAGTGCCTAAAATATTAATGAGGCATTCTATGATGCCAAAAAGTTAGTAATCAGTATAAATTCAGCATATCCTTATGTTTAATAAATGTGTTTCGAACTTTAAACTGCAAAAAGTACCACCACAACGCCGACGTCTTTTTACCTTGTTTATCCACAATATCTCCTCCTTTATGTTGTGGCTGCTGAGCTGTTCCTTTCTTCAGTACTCCAGTGTGTACCCCGCTACAGTGCACATCGCACTGAAGTATACCACACCATAGTATCCCAAAACAGTATAATGTGGTGTACCCCGCTACAGTGCACATCGCACTGAAGTATACCACACCATAGTATTCCAAAACAGTATAATGTGGTGTACCCCGCTACAGTGCACATCGCACTGAAGTATACCAAACCATAGTATACCAGAACAGTATTATGTGTGGTCCGCTAACCAAATTGAATAAACATAAAGATACACCAAGTTAATTTTTGAGTGTCACAAAATGCATCTCAGTAATATTTTAGGTGCACAACTAATCTGCTTAAATTGTGGGCGTAAATAAATGTCTGCAGAATATCGAAACGCCGTCATCTGAAGCCCTGGTGATTATTGCGCTTGGGTGATACGAGATCGATATCGCCCAGCCAGCTAGACAACAGTATAAAGGCTGAAGATGCACAAAAGGGCAATAAAAACAATACAACAGAAAAATAAATAAAAGGATAAATTACAAATTATGAATTCATTAACAATCAGCATTTAACACCATTTAAATGTGTCTTTATTTAATATTTGATCACTGGATATAGGCCAACAGCACAGTATTATAAACACATTTCCCATAAATGACAGCAAAGCTGGAAGGTTTCTGCCTTACCTGGTTTTTTCCTTGACTTGTCGTGCCCCAACTGGCCGAGGTCGTTGCAGCCACAGGTGTAGACAGTGCCATCATCCAGCAGGAATGCACTGTGCTTGTGACCGCAGCCCACATCGCACACCTTCCTCCCGCGGAAGAAGTCGCAGCTGCGCGGCTCCAAAACTATTTCCTCATCGATGCCGCCGAGACCCAGCTGGCCGAAGGAGGCATTCCCCCAGCACAGCATGGTCACCAGCCTCACTCTAGAAACTTCCGTCCTCCACACCTGGGATGATCAATAGTGCTGACAAATCAGAACATGCAGACATACAGCCCGCATGCAGAAACATGCATTCAGTGGGAGTAGCCAGTTAAAGTCTTAGACTGCTTTTATATTTTTTCACATTTAAAATTTCTTCTGTCATAATTAGAACCACCATACATACGGCTATAAACATAAATCCATCTTATAAACACTGATGCTGCCCATTTCCTTTATACTGACACCTAGTCTACGTACGCAGTAATGCAGTGACAGCCGACCATGCAGAGAGAAGAGATGCTAGGGTGGGTAACCGTGCAGATACAGAACAACAACCTAGAAGTGATGGGTAAACATGCGGGTACACGACATAAGCCTACTTTATATGTGATGGGTAACCTTGCGGGTATAGAACAACAACCTAGAAATGACAGATAACCGTGCGGGTACACGACAGAATCCTATTAAGTAAAAGATAACTGTGTAGGTACATAGTATCCTGGAAGTGATGAGTAAACCTACAGGTAGACGACAGCATCCTGGAAGTGGTGGGTAACCATACGGGTACATAAGATCCTTGTAGAAGCGACGAGTAAACCTAGGGGCATATGACAGCAGCCTAGAAGTGACAGGTAACTGTGCGGGTACATGACAGTGTCCTAGAAGTGACGGGTAAACATGTGGGTACATGACAGCATAGAAGTAACCGGTAACCGTGCAGGTACACAACAGCATCTTGCAACAGCATTGTGCAAGGGGTAATGTTTTGTCATCTGTGCACATTTTAAGTTGAAACACTGACGTGACCCTGCATTTTCGCGCATATATACATATATATATATATATATATATATAAATATATACACACATATATATATATATATATATATATAAATATGCGCGTAGGGAATGTTTTAGATACGAAGAATTGATGAGTAACCGTGCAGGTAAATGACAGCAAGTGATGGGTAAACATGTGAGTACACGACAGCATCCTAGATGTGACAGGTGGACCTGGAAATGACGGGTAATTGTGTGAGTGTATGACAGTGCCCTAGAAGTGATGGATAGCCGTGCGTGTACATGATATTGTCCTAAAAGTGACGGTTAACCGTGCAGGAATGCAAAAAGCTCCTAAAAGCGACGGGTGAACATATGTATATGTCAAAGTTGCCTAGAACTGTCACGTATATCCGTGAGTATATAATGAGTACCCAAAATTTCAGTAAAAACATGAGTACAATTGTAAACGGTCACGTAACTGCATGAGTATGGAACTATTTGGGTGTGTAAACACTTGGCAAAACTGCTGGCTAAGTACATGCGTGCGTCAGGAGTACCGCGCAGATGTCCCAAGTTATCACCCAGGAGTGTCAAGCGAGCGCCCGGCCGCGTTATCTGCTCGCCCCGCCGTGTACGCGCACGGACACGCCGCGTCTCCGCTGCTATAGACCTGCATGTGTGCCCGTAGCAGCCGGCTCAGCCCTGCATGGGTAGCGCTTACCTGTTGCGAAGCACACAGTAAAAGCTCTGTGTTCTCGGTTCAGTGTCAGCACTAAGAGAGCCTCCCTTCCCCGCACAAGGCGGTCGCTAACGGGCTGTGTGTACCACGCATAGGGAACTCGGGCGCCTCTGTTCCGGCCTTGCCGCACCGAACACCGAAGACTGGAAAGCTCCAGTAAGCTAGACGATATTTCCAGAGCGTTTCAGTGCCCCGGACGTGACGACACCGCGGCCCCACCCACCTCACGCGGTCCGTTATCCGGCGCGTCTCGCATGTTCCAGACTCGTCCGGCTGGGCCGCGCCAAACCCCCCCACTCGCCGCCACTCCCCGCACACTTCCGGTCGGACAGGCGGTCATATGACCGCACTGACGGATCCCATTGCATTGTGCAAGGGGTAATGTTTTGTCATCTGTGCACATTTTAAGTTGAAACACTGACGTGACCCTGCATTTTCGCGCATATATATATATATATGCGCGTAGGGAATGTTTTAGATACGAAGGAATGGAGAATAGGATAGATATAGTTGCGCATTTATGCAGGTGGTGAATAAGCCTGTCTCGATTTTGGAGAAAAGGACGTGGGTTAATGAAAGGTAGCCAGTTTGCAAGTGTATCAAGTGGACGCACACAATCATGTGCTATGAAAAGGACATCAAGCAATTAATGTCACTGCTTTCGAGGATGCCAGTGAAATCATAAACAGGGATTTTATATTTATGCAAAGTTGTAAAATCAGTAAATATATGGCAGCAGGTTTTCTTTGGCGTTAACTGGAATTAACCAATATAAGGAAGAAACAGGGTGAGTTACCTTAGAGAAGGTATAGTAGTAATTACCCGTTAGGAAAGAGCTTTGCGTGGTTTATTTTCAGTTTTGTCCATAACACGTGAATGAAATACAATAATATCCATTCATTTAAAAAAATATTTTGAAAAACTCTGCAGTTTTCACACAAAGAATGCCGTTGTATTGCCGTAGTACATATTGAGTCAATATTTACGTTTATTTTTTTTTTGCAAAAATACAAGTATTATTGAATGCACTCGTGTGCATGAAACATCTTGAATCGGCGCTTGAGCATGAAATGTATGAAGTGATGGAGGAGTTTAACCAGGCACGCAAAATAACCTTAATCATTTCACACCGGACATGCCTGCCCGTCATTTCGAGGATTCATTTTTAATCGTCGTATAAAAGGTCACCTTTTCATAGCAGAGCATAATGTCTAATTAGGATAAAATAGCAACCCCCTTCTAAGTCCCATACCTGTCATTGCAGTGACATGTATAACTCAGAAGGGGGCGCTTGTTGTACACTACGAGAACGTACATGTGATTCAAGACTAGTACTACATTTACAGGGTTTTATTTTAGTCACAAGCTGTCAGGTTTATTTTTTATTTTTTAAAAAACATGCAATATTCATACAACATATGCTCTCGGTAGTGTTAAGAGTTTGACATTTCATATATTTGTGCAATGGTTCTGGTTGTGCATTCACTGTGTTGTGCAGTCTTTAGTTACAGTTTGTAGGGTCTGCATTCAGCATACACATATGTTTTATGCGGTTCCATCCCAAAGCCTCATTAACCGTCTCCGTCACATCTGTCCATCTGTGTATTACGAAGTTGCAACTCTGACTTACGTGAAAGATCAGCTCTTTGCATCGCTTGGTGCATTAGCTTAACAGCAGGTCACACCAAGTAACTCAAATACAACCATCAAAACCTACTGTAGCTTTGGACCAATTGCAAGTGAATTATAACCAAATAGAAAATGTTTATTTTTATTACATATACTTTAAAGCCAAAAACCTTAATACTTAAATTAAAATGTATAACCACCATTTTACATTAAACAAGTTCAGTCAAACTGACCTATCCTTTGCCTAGTCTTTAATCTGATGTCTTTAAAGAATGAATCACCCTAAACCCAAGATTACAAGGTTAATACTTGCATTAACTTGCATGGGCTTAAAGCCCATTTCAGCATCGGCATGGGAACTAAAATGTCATTTTATAAACTACTGGAAGCCTTTAACAATTAAAAAAAAAAAAAACCTGGATTGTAAAAAAGTGTAGAGTAGCAAAAATTAATTTTTATAGAAATATCATTCCCCACAGGTATGCAGCACATTAATGCTTAAAAGTGTTTTATATTTAAAAAAAAGTATTTTCACGTCTGAGATGAAGGCAAGCAGAATGATTTGCAGCTTTTCTGCTCACAATGCACATCACTGTAACCAGCCATCTTCCAGTTCAGTATTACCATTGTGTGTGTCCATCACAGGGATATTAAATTGTTATTTTCCATAAATAAAACACCACCACCGAGATCACAAGGAAACAAATTACCAGCCTTGGTGCATATAAAAAAAATAAATTAATTTAAAAAATGCCAGTAGAAAAGTAAAAATGAGAAGTACACATCCACAAATGGACTGGTGAGACAGCGAGACACAGCTAGAAACACTGACACCTTCTTACTCCTCCCATATAAAAGTATAAATATTTCAAACTAAAACAGGAATCAGATACAATATCAACATTTCTTGTGAATGCAATGAGGTAATAGCTTGATACCCCCCCCCCAATCTGTCTAACCAGCTACTTAAAGTACTTTAGACCAGCCACCAGGAAGAACTTCTCCAAGAATATCTCAGAGTCCAGCACAGCGATATGGGCAGCCCGGCCGATCAGAGAGTTGGCCGTGTTGGGGAGGGCGTGGGTGACGTCGTAACGGACCAGGTTACAGTCTTTGTTCTGCAGGACAGGAAGCAGCAGGTTTTCGATCATCTCCGTGTAAACGGGACCTATGGCCCCAGAGGGTGGAATGGGGGGAGAGAGACACAGAAGACAAGGTTAAGTTGAGGGCTGGAGAGGCAGGTTCAGCATTATGATAGAGGTGTATGATGATGTTTGGAGACACTGGCATCTTCATTGCATCGTTACTGGTGTGTTAACTGATTCGCTCAGTTTTGACGCTCACAGTCTGACCACGTGCTTTTTAATTTCATGTTATACACATATGTCACGGAGCCAGCTCTGCCAGTAACACACCAAGAGCACACAGACAGACCATGGCACTTCTTGGGGAAGTGGGTGGTGCCCCCTGGTGGACGGCCGAGGCGGCACGCGGTGCCGGCAGCTCACCTGACTGTTTGTCCTTTAAGGCGATTTTGCACATCTCGATGCGGGCAGAGTGATATGGGACGTAGCGGTCCTGCAGCGAGCCCACCAGCACCACGTTCCTGAAGTACTGCAGACCTGGGGGGCAAAAAGGTCTTTACAGATCTGATGGGGGGGCACACAGAGTCAGGTGCATGTTTACAGGCTGGGGGCGGGGCCAAACCTGCTTTCTGGCTTAGCTTGTACAGGAAGGTTTGCCGGGGGTCTGAGTGATCGCGACACGTCAGCTGTAGCAGGGAGCCGGACTTCTTCCATTTCTGCATGAACCACAGGCCTGGGGGGGCGTGGGGGGACATCAGTAAGGCCAATATGCTCGTCACCGGCGGCTCAGCGCACTGCAGACCAAACTACAGCAATGAGGGACCCACTACCCAGGATCTCATGACGAACAGCCCTAACACATCCGACCCCCTCCCTCAAGATCTCAGTATTTATTAACCAGGCCAAACAGCTAAAAATGATGAATGGGTCACCAGAGCCCCCCTCCCCCACAGACAGGCAGTACCGGTGTTGACGAGGGCGGAGCTGTTGTACAGGGTGCCCAGGTGTGGACCAGACAGCGACAGGAAGGTGTGCAGCTTGTTCAGGTAGCACTTGAACCTGGGCCTGGTCAGCACCGAACGGACAATCAGGTTGCCCAGGGAATGGCCGACGAAGCTGGGAGGGTCAGACCAAGGTCAGTGCTGGGCACAGTACACCAGTCACGCAGCCCATTCCACCTGCACACCCCCATGTAAACACCGATATCATGCTGATGCTGCATCGAGTCCTGATACTTGATGTGAGCGCCCCCTGCTGACATGCGGAGGAGGGCCCCTTGCACTTGCCTGATCCTCGCGACTGTAAGGTTGTAAATCTGGATGTACTGAATGATCTCGTCCAGCAGCCGGTCCGTCATGGAGTCAAAATCCACAAAGGTGTCATTCTGCAAAGTGGAACAAAACCAAGCCAGCCAAAGATCAGCTTGGAGAGGCTCTCAGCTGAAGGACACAAAGCTGAGACCACGTTTACTTGTTGTTTGCACTGTGTGTGCTGTCTTTGCAGATTATTTTGCACCACGTTTACTTGTTTGCACTGTGTGTGCTGTCTTTGCAGTTTGTTTTGCACCACGTTTACTTGTTTGCACTGTGTGTGCTGTCTTTGCAGTTTGTTTTGCTACATGTATGTTTGTCT